TCTCTTCACACATTAGGCTTAGGCTTCTGTCTAAACTAGTGGAAGGCTGATTGACTTTAAAAGCCAGCTTTACCCCTAATATAGTCAGTATAGTTGGAACATAGTCAAACCAGTTATAATTTAAGAGAGTTTTTCTTTACAATGAGTTTTACTCACAGAGTACCTGAAAACTTTTTGCTGATTCTACAGTGGATTTCCCCACTTGAAAATAATTTATAATTAAAAGCAAAAATCACAGCACGGTTTGAGTCGCAGCATCACTTACTTCCTGACAGTCACTAAGATTGTAAGTAAAGAACTAGTTCTCAAGCTGAGAATGCTAATAAGTTCCCCAAGACATAACATTCTCTGAGCCATACATGATTCTTGTTGAAATTCATGGACTTTAAAGTTACAAATCTACAGTTCTTCTCTGTTCTTTATTTCATCAGTTTGTTTTTGTTTAAGCACAGAGGGGAAATCCAGATGCCTGTAACCCTGTGAAGCAGGTGTCAGTCTGATTGTTTAACATTCTCAGCTCAAGGGTGTGAAGTGACTGCAACCATCCGATCCTCCATGCCAGCCTTTAGATCTGGGAGTCTCAATACTTTCTCAAAAATGTGCAGTTTCCGGTGGTGATCTATTAAGTGACTGCAGTTTGCCGGAATGCCGGGTGACCTTGCCTACCATTACTCTTGACGTTAAGCCGGGGCAGTCTCATGTTCCTCAAACACTTGACCCAGCACCTGCCTGGTGTCAGGCAACGCAGGAAATAAGGAAGCACTTTGAATATAGTCCCTGTCCTTGTGGAACTGCAGCTGGAGCCATGCCCCGGGTCTCCTCCCATCATCGTCCTCTGAGCTCTTCCGCATGTTGAGGGGAGATGGAGTAGGCATAGAGAAAGGCTGTGCTCTCCAGCAGAGGAAAAGGTGGCACTTAGTAGTTTAGGAGTTTGGGGGGATGGGATCATTGCAGGAGCAAAGGTGAGAAACAGACTGTGAAAATAGACCTGGGCTGATTTCTGCTTGGCCAGTACAGCTGCAGAAGGTAAAGAGAAATAGAAGAAGGGCATCCTTCATGTGAAAGGATGGTGTTCCTCTAGAGTCAAAGCTGCAAGGGCACAGGGATCTTGCAAGTCAGCCTCTAACTTTGCATGTAGGAGAAGTTAAGACCCAGGAATGGTAATAGTTTGCTCAGTTGAAAAAGACAGTGGATAACTTCCTTTTAAGTACATGAGAAGAAACATGGCAGAAAACAAGACTTTCTGATTGTTATGTCCAGGCCAGCATGTAAACCTTTCTACAACTAGTAGTCATTACTTCTTGCCTAGAATTCCCTGAGGATTAAAGTCACTGTGACACCTTAGCTAATTGACTAATCCCCAGGAAGTGATCAGATGTGTGGTTTTCAAATGATTATTTTTCTAGTCTAATACTCCCATGCCTTAGGCATTTAATAAAGTTTGTCTGTTCTTTTTCTCATTAAATAAAAGAAGAAGAAGAATGGTTACTTCCTGTTACTGGTACTCTGTCCTAGATATTTGGTCACTTAGCACTGAGGTACATGAATATTTACATAATTAGGCAGTGCTCATAGGGACAATATTCATGCATTTTGGAATCCTCCATACAGTGATGGCACCAGGTAGACACAAAAATGCTTTCTAATTTAATTTATGTGTTGTGGAAATAGGGGCCATTATCATCTGACAGGACCTGTATTAGAGTCCCAGTTCTGTCATTTTGTCACGATGTGGCCTTGGGCAAGTTATTTCACCTCTGAGACTGTTTCCCTGTCTGTGAAGTGCGGTAGACAGTGTGTCTGGGTACCCACATGAGCATACCTCTAAAACAAGGCTTCCCATGGGCCTCCTCCCTAATATAGTGCTTGCTGAATGTATTGCAGGGATTTTTCTTTTAGAATGAGGTCTTATTTTTAATCCTATATTATGGAATCAGATGAAACATTAGAATCTTATGATTTAACCATTATTCTATCTACTATCTCTGAGAAATACCTTAAACTGAGAACAAAAAAGGAGTCGGAATGGCATCTCTTGATTTCCTTCACCTATATCATTGGGCATTCCCCGTTCGTGTCCTACCCATGTTGTTGTTTCTCCTTTTCCTAGCCTGACAGGAAACTATTGGAGCCATGTATAAAGCTCTACGATATAGCTGACCTTGTGCACCTTTTAAGGACAGAATTTGCCAAAGTGCCGCCACCACCCACCAGCGGTTTACTTTACAGCCTGTGTCCTGGCTAGACTAGCTGTTGGCTGTAGCTAGACTAGCTGTTGGCTGTATAATTTGTCTAGTTTTGTGTGGAGCCTTAGACTATTCAGCTGCTACAGGGCAAAATCTTTTGGGGTGTCATTAAATGGGATTGATAATTGGCTTCTGATGAATATTCATTGTGACTAATGACTTTGGGCAAATTTTACACATACGATCTTTCTATTCTCCCACCAAGTGAGATATTTGATAGAATCATTTCCTCAGCTTACACTTCAATTAAATATTCACATATCCCTTTGTTGACTATACTCCTTATTGTATATTTTATTATATTAATATTATATTCTCTAGGGAATGAGTATAGTCCTTCAGACTCCTATATGTGGCTGGTGATACCATGTAGAACCCTGTACATTATTTCTGGGTCAGTGTAGATATACAGAGACTGCATTGCAGTTAGCTTAGCCACTGTTCTAACAGTGTGCAAAATGGGCGTCATATTTTGGAAAAGAGCCAAACAGCTCCCTGCTTGGTTTGTTTGTTTTCTTAATCAAATGGCTGAATGTGTCTTACCCAAATTGTCGAGATTTGGCCTTAGAAAATCTCTAATGAAATGATGGAGCACCTTAAAAGCTTGTGGGTTTATCTGTGGCTGTCACAGGCATTCCATTCCAGCTGTGTCCTAGAGTCTTGTGAGCAGGAAGTGATGTGATTGGGCCTGAACATGAGCAAGAATGCCCTACCAGCTGATTGAAGATAAGCAAAAGGGCTGGTGCTCAAGGCCGTTGTAACCCTCTAGTCTGACTTGCTGGTAGCATCAAAGTAAAAGTGATTCATTCTTTATTTCACACCACCAACTATGTTCATTCTTCTAAACCCTAGAGAGACTAGCCATGACAATGTGTATCTATATGGCAGCTACCTCCATCAGAGAACCTACAGAATAGACGGGAATGGGTGATTGGACCTCAGTGCCTACAAACAGTTCTCCACACTCCCTGAATCTCCTCCCTACATGTACCTGATTTAAATAATGAGGTCTGGAGAGAAGAATGGGTGAGGGGCATAGCATAACCCTAGATTTAGTACACAGCTTTCACAACTGTGAAGCATCAGTAATATAGCCAGTTTAAAGCTGGTTGTATTATACTAACCTCTGGGATTCTTTTAACTGGGTCCGGCACATCCCTCTTTTCACCACATAAATGTCCTTCTGTCAGCAAAGGCCAATTACCAGTTTCCAAAACAAAGCAAAGGCCTTGTGGTGACAGGTTTCCTAGAAGCCAAAAAAAGAAAGAAAAAAAATCAGGAAAAAGGCAGAAATACGCGTTGTTGGCTATTGTCACTTAGCTGGGTACCCAGGGTTGCATCCTGTCCCCTTTGCCATATTGAATTTTACAGAGATTGTATTGCTTTTCATTACCTTTGCCTATAGATTTCAATTTTATCAGATACTGCTTGTTGGGTTTCTCTAGCTCTTAAGAATAAAGAAAAGGAATTAGAAACAGGTTGCTGAAAGAAGTGGAAAAGCATAAGCTGACAAACCATGCTGGAGCAATTGATCAACTATGTGGAAGAAGTAAATTCTTACCTCAAGTCTAAAGCCCACATTCATTGCAGATGGATTTAGGAGTTAAACACTTGCAGACATTTTGGAGGTCTTTCCTTGGACAAGGAGTGGGGCTTATCACTAAGGAAAACCTTGTCCCCATAGTCATTCAAACCTCTTTTCTCAGAGACTTGAGGAAAATGAAAACTAACTTATCAAAAGCATTGTATCAGATGATGTCCTTTACAAGTCCTCAGCACTTGCTTACAAACAAGTTTAAAGGAGTCTAGCACTCCTTTTCAAGTCAGCAAAGAAAGGAACAGACCATTTATATAAGAAATAGAGTCAGGAAACATGACAAAAAATAGTCACCCTCCATGCTACTCAGAGGGTGAAGATAAAAGTAAGATGAAAGTAAGTTTAAACTTGACTGCATCGCTTAGTTCTGGTGAAGCCAGCAAGGAAGAGTCTCTACCGTTCATTAGTTATTCAAGTATGCACTTAGTTACCTTACTCTACCTGATGAGTACTGTAACATATCCAGAAGCCTTAGTTAGCTCTGGAATCTACAACTAGAAATCACTTATACAAATATAGTTGTGTAGCTTCGTGATGGAAAGCAGCAAAATGGATACAAAGAATACACTGAAGATAATGAAAGGTTGTGTTTCCTAAGATTACTTAAGGATGTAGGAAAATGATATCAAATAATGTCAACATAAAAGGAGAAAAAAATCATATTTACAGTTATTTTAGTTTAACTAGAAAAGAAACTATACATGCTTACATGTACAATATCCTAAAATGTTAAATAATCTTCAGAAAGTGCCAGTTTTTTAAATCACATTCTTCATTTTCTGTTTTCTACTCTAAATGTACATAAGTTTTAAAGTCTTTTGTTTCTTCATTTGGTTTTTTGTTTGTTTTGTTTTGTTTTGTTTTGTTTTGTTTTGTTTTGTTTTTTGGTGTAGTCCTGAAGGACTGAACCTCAGACCTAAACCTCAGACATACTAGGCAAGCGCTACTACTGAGCTGTACCCCCAGCCTCACATTAGCTTTATAATCAGGAGACAGGACACAAAATATGTATTTTGAAGAGAAAGTCTATTGCATTGCGCTAGGGTGGCCATGTCCGATAGGGAGTTATTTCTACTGTGACTTTGAGTCCTTAACTTTGGCAGCACCCTCCCTCAACTTTGCCATGAGACCTGACCCTCTGCTCCTCTCTGTTGCAGTTGACTGCCTGCATCCACGGCTCTGCTGCCATGCTCTACCCCATGTACTGGCAGCACGTGTACATCCCTGTGCTGCCCCCACACCTGCTGGACTACTGCTGGTAAGGCTGCTGATCACCTGCCCTTCACTTCCTCTCCCAGGAATGACCCAAGAATGTAAAGGCTTGGACTTGTAACTGCTGTAGATGACACTAAATTAAATGTAGTCCTAATAGCACAGGGTTTGGAGCACCTGACAGCAAGGTGCTTTATGTGACGGCATTCTGAAAAGGTTGAAAGAATAGCTAATACTTTTACCACTTCTCACTGTAGAGAAGACAAAGCACCAACAAATTGCGCACTTTTTCCTACCAAGACACATTGGAAACTGGTGACAGGACCCACTGGAATCCACAAAGTCCCCAAGTTTCAGCCATGCCCTGGCATACCCCACCAGACTTGGTTTTTACTGTGGTTTGGGCCTTCTGATTTTTTCCCACCTCTTTTTCCTTCTTCCTGGCCTCCTCCTCCTCCCTCTTTTTATTCGTTTGTTTGTTTTATTTTACCTTTTTTCTTTTTCCTTTTTTTTTTTGAGATGTGATTTTATTGTGCATCAAACTTGCAGCAGTCTTTTTCCCTTAGCTCCCTGAGTGCTGACACTGATTACCAGTGTGTCACCACACCCAGATGCTGACTCTCTGAAGCCTTTTGAGGGATTCACTGTTGAGCATGTATTAGTGGAGGAAAGGAAAGAAGTCTTGGTGTCAGACACAATGGCCGGAGATGCTCCTTCTTCATCTGCAAGATGAAGTTGTTCAGACATAGTTAAATTTTTAAGATAAAACACACCATATACGGATGGATGGTTCATGGGAGTCTCAATACCCGCTGAAGCACCCTCACTGCCTTTGGGAATGTGCTGGAAATTATATCTGTTTGGCTGACTTGTATCTGTTTTCCTTTTGAATACTTTTTCTCTAGTGTAATATATTAAGAGACATTGTCTAAGAACAGCCCATGTCAGTAGATGCTGATAAGGGAGTGTAGTGTGTACGTCAAAAAGACCCTGGGTGTCTGCCAGAAATTGGAACTTCAGGAGAAAGGCTCCATTTGGGGGACTCCAGCCCTTACTTGTGATCAGATTCTTCATGAGATCGGCCATTGACTCAGAATGGCGGAGGCTAGTCAACCCTAATATTTGCTTTTTTTTTTTCAGTCCTCTCTGAAAATGTACAGTTAGGTAGCCACCTTTTGTCCTAGAAGTCTGAAGGTACCTTGTAACCCTGCCTTGGATGTTTTAGGTTCAAGTCTCTTTCCAGGAAGCCACAAAGACATAGCTCAGGGTCAGGAAATACATTCCAGTTAGTACAGTGCCAAGTGAACTGGCCCATTTCTTCATATTGCAATCTTTCTGATCCTTGTGGTTTTTCTTAGTCTTACTTTCTGCCAGTTCCCTGTTAGATGTATGAATTATAAAAAAACTAGATTGTTTCCCTTTTTGACAGTGGTAGGTGTTGAGGTTGTCAAAACAGGGTTTCTCTGTGTAGCCCTGGCTGCCCTGAAACTTGCTCTATAGAACAGGCTGGCCTCAGATTCAGAGATCTGCCTGCCTCTACCTCTTGAGTGCTGGGATTTAAGACGTGAACTATCACCTGCCCCTACTTTTTTTTTTTAAATATTTATTTTTTATGTGTATGAGTGTTTGGCTAAATATATATTAGTGCCCACAGAGGCCAGAAAAGGGTGTGGGATCCCCTGGGACTAGAATTGCAGATGATTGTGAGCCACCACATGGGTGCTAAGCTGAGGTCCTTTGCAAGAGCAGCCAGTACTCTTAACTGCTGAGCCAGTCATCAGGAACTGAGCACACATTGTGTTTGATGTGTTTTTACACTTTGCTGTATTTTGGAAATTGTTCTTCATTAAAGATGGTTTCCTGATACTCCTGGTCTGGATTCCATTTTTGTGGAACAGATAGGAGAGATTGTATGTTTCAAACAGAAGGATCAAGATACAAAGCCCTTGAAATAGATTTACCTTATTTAGCATTCCTGCTTTCCTCAGGAGTTATTTTCAGACCCCAGTGCTCCCTCGACACTCCACTTTTATGCAAGTTCTGTGTCTCGTATCACATAGGAAATCATGGAGTGCCATGCTATCTTCATCAGCTACTACTCCTTCTGAAGGTGAAAGCCATTAGGCTCTGGTCCCTACAGATGTGTCATGGTACCAGATTGTCCATGTCCTTTGGTTCCTAGCACAGCATCTAGGAACCTCCCTTACTGCTCTGTAACTGCTATTTGCTTATCTACAAGTCTATGTCATCCATTTGTTTTGACATCCTCAGTTCCTTTCCACCCCTGTCCCTTCCACTTTCTGTGGCTCTTGAAATCACACTGTAGCTCCTCCCACTCACTCTGAGCAAAACACTGGTGGTATTTGTCATCTGTACAGAAGTGACCTCCCTCCCTCAGAGGACTCATGGAATAGCAAAAACAGGGCTGAGCTAAGAGGACAACACCAAGACCTTGTCTCAAGACCATTACTGCCTGGCTGTACAGCTTAGAGAATGTGAATTTGTTTCTAAAAATCTCTTGCCCTTACCTAAAAAGTGCCTTCTCAAATTATTTCCAAACATCTACTTGTGTAAAAATATGTTTTAACCTGAAACACACTGTCAGCTGCCCAACAGGGTGACTTGACACCATATAGCCATTTAAAAGCCCCCTCCACTTCTCCCTTCTTCTTCCTGCTTCTCATATCCTCTGTCTTTACCACAGCTTCCTCCTGCCCTCCATATACCGCCTTTCCTCTCTATCCTTTTGTTCACTGGCCCTACTGGATTTGCTTGCCTTCCTGCTTACATTGGACCTTTATGGAGTTCTCAGTGTGATGAATATTTGTGCTGTATTTCAGACACAGCAGCATCTAGTCAAAGCCAAGATGTCAGTCAGTCTCCATCAAAAGACACTCAGATGGATGGGGTGTTAAAGACAGGCATGAAGGCTGGAGAAATGGCTCAGAGGTTAAGAGCACTGGCTGCTCTTCCAGAGGTCACGAATTCAATTCCCAGCAACCACATGGTGGCTCACAACCATCTAAAATGAAATCTGGTGCCCTCTTCTGGCATGCAGGTATACATGCAAACACACATTGTATACATAATAGATAGATAGATAGATAGATAGATAGATAGATAGATAGATAGATAGATAAATAGATAGATAAATAGATAGATAAATAGATAGATAAATAGATA